CAAGCAAGCATTTTCCTTCTGCTTGGAGAAGAAAAAAGAAGAACTTATTGTACAATAATTGTACCGGTATGGCAGCATATACATAATACATATAGTTGGTATTGCTAACATTTATCTAACAGTTCTAAGAAGCTACCTTTTTTTATAGATAACAATAAAGACACTCTAACTATATTACTCCAGCCCTAATGATAATAACTTACCCAGAGATCTTCCGGCAGTATGATGGGGTTGGTCATGTCAGCGTGCATCTGTCCTAGCTTCTTAAGCTCAGGGATCAGATAGTCTGGGTCATCCAGGGAGTCTGGGGGAGAAAAGTTGTCAGACTCTTAGTAAAACGTTTACACGGAGGCCAAATTGTGAAGTGATTGGTCAATGATTATCCTGATGAAGGTGACAGTGGTGGCTGAAAATTTGAATTCTGTGTAAATTGAACGTTCAACGTTTTACTATGATTACTACCAACACATGAACTACCAACACATGATAATTGTCAGACTCTTGTCACCTCTGCAAAAAACAGGGTCTAAGACAGCAACAATAGCTGGAATACAAATGTAGGTGGCAGAAGAAGTTGATGAGCTAAGCACTTTGATATGGTAAGGGGTACGAACATATTCCTGGGATGTTTGTAACCTATGTCTCATTGATTTCTCAAAAAGGTATCTGTTCTTCTTCTTCCTATTCTGTGCAAACCTCAATTGGTTGAGGGCTCCAGCACGGTGGGGGTGGGGGTATTGAATGGGGTGGTCGCTCGTACAAGTTTGTGTGTATACCGGTATAGCCGCCCCTCAGCTTAACACACCAGCTTCGCAGGCACGCGGCGTGGCGGCAGCTAGCTATATCACACCAAATGACCTGTTACACCTAATCTTTGCACATTTAATTGCAGGAGTTGTTTAACGCTTTCTAGTGATGATGCACCAACTTAATGATAAGAATGTCTTGAAATCGCACGACAAACTGCAGTACAAAACCCTTACCTACTACATGGTCCATCGCGCTCAGGATCCGTACTGACAACTTCTGCAGGTACGGACTGCTCCGCATTTCATCCTCCGTCAACTGCCGCAGCTGTGGCCACTTGTCTTTGATCTCAGGACTGCATCGAAAGAGGCTACAGAAGAATATATATAACCAGTAAAGAGCTAGCTTTGAGTTTGAGTTTTATTTAGATCCACAATTAGCCTCATAAGAGGCTATTCTTCCTGTGGTCTACACGTTCATATTTACATACATATATTACAAACGTACAAAAACTTTAGAAAATTAACAGTACATGGCAGACTTTACACAATTCCTTAAATACACTATTTACAATCCAGTACTTAGCTGTAGTCTAGCCGGTATCTCTTTCATTGGCCTCCCTCCCTGCCGAAACTTCTACTTAGAGAATATCCGAAAGTATCAGAAGGTCCTTATACATAAGCAAGTGCAATCTAGATCAACAGAAACCATGACTTATACTGCCGCAAAAAACGGGATGATGCTGTTCCTTTACAAGTCAAGTTTGTCCTCTTTCAGTAGAACGAGTACCGAGGTTATTTAACAAACAAAAAAACGAACAGCCTATCTCCCATGGATCGTTGTACGGCGCTTCTAGATACGCACACTGACCATGCCGTATGGTCCTGTCCTTGGTGCTGAACGCCATCCGCCCCCCTCCCCACGCACAAAATAACAAGTGCGTTTCGTGAAAAATCACGCTTCTATCGACTACCGTAAAAGGATATCTCGGCGATACCACACTT